CCGTGGTGGTACCTATTTATCTACTTGCATTTTTACATGCTCTCGAACTGCTAGGTTGGCAGGAGCTGGGACAAGTGACGGGAGCTCACTCCATCGCGTGGATTCAATCTTACGACGGCTGGTCTTCTGACCTTGCAGCACAGAGGCTTCTGCGGGTTAACCCGCAGCGCCACCACCTCCCTGAAAACTAACTTACAGCAATGCTAATAGGACTTTCAGAGTAAGTGAGATATTAAAGAGTAGTTTTGCCTGTTCTACCCCTCCCAGTGAATTTCCATACCCAAGTGGGGATTGAACCCAGATCTCCTGAATCCTAATCCATCACTCTACCCACCACACCACACTGGAGATGTCCATAGTATTGTACACTGCGTTTAAAAAAACAAATATCAAAATTCTGGCCCATAATAAGTTGGTAAATTATGTGAACTTTATAAATTATACAAATGGCAAATCTTGGCAAATATTTGCACATCAGAACCACCTTTTAATTCAAGACCCACTGTTACCTGTTCGACTACAGATGTTGTTTAGCTGTTAAGTCGTGTCCGATTCTTTGTGACCGCATGGACCAGAGCACGCCAGGCCCTCCTGTCTTCCACTGCCTCCCGGAGTTGGGTCAAATTCATGTTGGTACCTTCGATGACACTGTCCAGCCATCTCGTCCTCTGTCGTCCCCTTCTCTTCTTGCCGTCACACTTTCCCAACATCAGGGGCTTTTCCAGGGAGTGAGCTATTGGGAAATTAGATGCTGATGACATGTGTAGTGCTTTTTGAGTAGCTTGTATATTTTTTATTTTCTGTGTTGATGTCATTTCAGTATAAAAACCTTGTGTTTGCTGCATCTTGAAGAAAATGGAAAGCTTAACAAACACTTAACGATTATGCCCAGAGATGTAATCTTAGAACGCAGAGCTGGAAGGGGCCCTATGGATCATCAAATCCATCCCTGTCAAGGAGGCACAGTGAGGAATCAAACTCCCAACCTCTGGCTCCTCAGCCAGAGACCTGAACTATCATTTACACAAGCGTAATGTATGAAGGTTCAAGGCTTGGTGGGGGATTCTTGATCCTGAAGTAAAGCAATGGAGCAGTTTCTCATGGCTGCTAAAGCTGGAAGCAAAGCATTGAGAGATTTCCCCGAGGTCACAGAGGAAATCTATCGTGAACAAGGAAATGCTAACCTTGAGCTTTTCTACGTTTTTATCAGCCTAAGCTCTGATGCATTGACAGTCGGATAATTTTTTCTTTTTCCGTTTCCTAAAGGTATTTAGGCTTTTATCACAAGGCGAACGCTAAGCCTTTGCATTTATTTTGGCTACCAGATAAACTTGCACTTCGTTTTGTTTCCAGATTTCTATGTTATCAATTTTAAGAAATTGTCCAGATCGTTAAAAGTTCAAGAGAGGCGTTTCTCCATGTTCTTTTAATATCTGAGGATAAGAGCCAAGCCTACCCTTAGGCAGAGTGAAGTGGGTGTCCAGTTGTGTCCAACTTTGGGTGTCTTAAAGGGATAGCAAATGGTTGCTTATACTTTTATTTTTTTTACTTTCTGGAATGGAGAGAGGTGCTTGTGGGATATTCTGTCTAATTACAGAAAAATGGAGTTGTGAGGGGCTTATAAGACTATCAAGTCCAACCTCCTTGTTAGTGTAGGGAGCGAAATTAAAGTTTTCTAATTTTCTCTTGAATGCCTCCCGCGTTGGAGCACTCTCCTCTTCCCAAGGGAATGATTCCAATGTCACGCTGCTCTAACCATGAGGAAGGCGGTCCTGATATCCAGTCAAAATATGGCTTTCTGTAACATGAATCTACATCACATGTGCTGCACTTTAATGACCGAGAACAAGTCCTGCTCCTCCTCTGTATGTATCAGCAAGCTTGCCAGGTCAATAGCCAGGTCATCCTCTGAGATTTCAGCACCATGATCTGAGGTGTGGAGTGGGTCCTTGTGATTTTATAAGTTTGTTAGGGTAGAGGTCCCCAACCCCCGGCCCGCGGCCCGGTGCCGGTCTGTGGCCTGAGCCGGACTGGGCCACAGAGAGACACCACCCCACACCCGCACGCACTCCCTCCCGCAGAGTCCACATGCCCGCACGAGCACTGTGCCACCCATTGTGCATGCGCACGAGTGTGTGTGTGCCTGCATGAGCGCCACCACTCCTTTGCACATGCACCCACGTGAGATGCTCGCACTCCTTCACGCATGCACAGGGGCGCAGTGGGTGCCCAGCCTTCCCCAGCCAGTCCGTGAGGTTAAAAAGGTTGGGGACCGCTGTGTTAGGGTGCAGCATGACACAAAATGCAGCTGAAAAGAATTGTGCAACTGGTAATTCAGAGATGATGTGCAGTTGGAAAAAAATGGTGCTGGGAATTAATTTGTGTGTGTGTGTGTGAGAGAGAGAGTTATGCATTATATTTATTAGGAACTTAAATGTCTGACACCATCAGGGGCAGTAGATAAAGCAAATTAAAATTAACTCAGTTTGTGTGCTCGAAGCAAGTTGCCCAACTTAAACTGAAATAAATTCTAATTTTGGGTTGGAGCTTCCTCTTTTTCATCTTCTTCTTTAAGCCTGTGTTGCTTAGCAGCATTGTTGCAAATAAAGCAGTTCTTATGCATTAAGCTTGTCCCGTTTTCTTTGTCCCTTCTTCTGCATCTCTTATAAAACAGCTGATCTAGGATCCTGGTTGGCCAGCAGTCGCATATTATTAATGGATGTGTAGAGACATGTGCCCCCCCATTTCCATAGATAGACAGGCCCTGAATTTACGTTTGATTATAATGTTTTACTTTTGGGGTGTCAGTGCTGCGCTGTGGAATGTGGAGTAAATTATGTGGGGAAATTCACGGCTGTTTTCTGGTTATTCAGTCATGTTGTGAATAATTTAACCTGGACTCTAGTTGCCCACGCCAACTGTAGAAGGTGGAAGCAGAAACTTCAAGATTTCTGCAAGAGTCACCAGAGCCGGCATTCTAATAGAATATTTTAAAATTGTTCTTCACTTCCTTTAGCTGCTTGGAACACTCTTGTGTTGCAAAGTTTGAATTCTGGTAAAGTTCCCTTTTGCTACGCAGTAGAAAGTTCCCTTCTGGAAAAGTAGAAAGTTCCCTTCTGGTAAAGTTACCTTTTGCTACGCAGTAGCCGCCCAGAGTGGTAGAATATAACAGATGGGCGGGAATAGGAATCAAATAAATAAATAAATAAATAGAAGTACAGAGATCCACAGAGGAGAATCGCTACAAGTTCCCCAGAGTCCACCCCTTTCTCATGAACTGGCATTTAAAGTCTCACTAACTCATTGTGAGTTATTTGTAGAAGAAAGAATAAAAACATTTGGTTCTTGTAGGTTTTTCGGGCTGTTTGGCCGCGTTCTGAAGGTTTTTCACCAGTCTCTGTGGCTGGCATCTCCAGAGGACAGAACACAGACAGAATTCTGTGTATGGGATAGTTGAGTACTCTTAGCTGTGGGGTCAGCTTTTTGTCCTTTTCAGGAGATTGGGTAATTATGGTGATCAGGGTATTTTTTGTTATGGGTATATTGTTGTGATAAGGGGGGAGATGATCTGTCACTGTAATTGATGAGTTGAGTTTTTATTGTTTTCTCGAAAGTATGGCTTTGTTGAGTTTTTATTGTATTTTATTGCATGCGCAAACGGCAGTGCCCGCATGAGCACTGCACCGCTGTTCGCACATATGCACCTGCCACACAAGTGGCGTGTCGCCATTTGCTCATACAATAGGACCCTCTATGCAGAGATCCCCAATCCCTGGTCCATGGCCTGGTGCTGGTCTGTGGCCTGAGCCTAACTGGGCCATGGAGACAGACTTCCTGCCCCATCCCCTGCACGCACTCACCACTGCACAGCTGCGAGCATGTGCAAATCAGCTGTGTGGGGGTGAGTGCATGCGGGGGTGGGGTGGAAGGTCTGTTTCCGCAGCCCAGTCTTGGTCAAGCCACGGACCGGCACCAGGCCGTGGACCAGGGGTTGGGGACCTCTGCTCTAGAGTTTCTCTCTAACCATCTTGAAATATTTTTAATTTTTTTTAAAAAAAAATATCAACTTTAGCGCTAGATCGCCTCTTTTAAAAAAAGATAAGAAAGGAGAGCTTTAGATTGCCAGGTAGTTAGTATCAAAGGAAGGAGGCTGTAGGATGTGAGCACATACCAAATCATGGAGGATTGAGGGCCACATGGGCATGGAGATAATCTGGGGCAAGAGAGATGACACCTTAAAGATTTATTTTCAGCATAAACAGCGTAAACATGGATTAGAACCCACTTCCTTAGACACTGTAGGGTGGAATCAGAGAAGCGGCAATGTTACAAAATAAGAAGAAGGATTATTTTAGGGCTGCGCGATGGGAAATTCTGAATTCTTTTCTGGTAGATTTTGACCCTGCACACATTTTTTTTGGGGGGGGGGATAGCTGATTGCAGCTGGCTATAATGAGGTTGGGAAAGAAAGCCGTATTGGAATTGAAAGACTTTGTGACACTTGAGCGGGTTGGGATGAGAGATAGAGTACCACTGTCAAAATACAGATTGAGTATAAATCCCCTGATTCTTCTTTCTAGGAGTTCTTCCTGACTGACAGTCACCTCAGTGTGGCTCACCCGGGGGGTGGGGGTGAGGAAGGCCTAAATCGAAAGGCTTTGAGGCCTAGCTCCAACCAATATTGCTTTAATTTATATGCCCCCAACGGGGGCTGGGCTGTTCTGGGGTGTTTACAAGCATCTTGTTTGGAAAGAAAGTTGCCAAGTACCACCAGGACTTTTGAAAATCTTATTAATAGTCTTCATTTTTTTGTTTTTGCTTGGGAACAAAAGCCAGGCATTCCTTTAAGAAACGATAATGTGCAAAAAATGACAATTTCTAGGGTCTCAGTATCTTCTTTCCAAATCTGGCATGGGGATGGTTTCACTTTAAGATAATTAGCATGTCTTTATACTGTATGTATATGTTTTCATTCTTTCTCTCCTGCCCCTTCTTCTTAGGCTTCTGACCTCGTCATCAACCCAGCAACTACTTTAAAAGAAAAGCCAGACCCAAATGGTTTGGTATTTGGCACTGTCTTCACAGACAACATGTTATTCGTTGAATGGTCGTTAGCGTCAGGATGGGACACACCTCATATCAAGCCGCTGGAGAACCTCTCGCTACATCCTGCCATATCAGCACTTCACTATGCTGTGGAAGTAAGTAGGATCAGACAGAATGATCAGACAAGTTGTTTGTTCTTCATGCTTGCAATTTTCTGTGTTTTTTTAACTACCATCTTCTTGTGTTCTAGAAAATGATTTTATTTGGGGCTTTGATGCAAAGAGGCAAAAGTTGCCACTCATTATTATTATTTACTGAGGTACAAAGAGTGACTCTGAAATAGAGGGAATATGCATGGCCAAGACCCAGACTTCAGTCATGGAGGGAGGCAGGTGGATGTTGCTGATCCATCTGTTCTCAACATTGTGTGGAAATAAATAAATACACTGTATTGTATGGACTGCCATTTACAAGAGGCAGGGAAATACCAGTGCAATGGCATACATCACTGGCTTTTCCAAGCTATATTTTATGGATAAGAAGACAGTCGGTGGCACTGGAGCATCTCACCATAATTAATCTGTGAGTTTGTCCTGGAACATTGATAACTGGCGCACAGTTACTCTGTGGCTTTTTAAATGTCACCATGCCTGTCTCTGTAGCCAAAAAAACTGGGCAATGCTAGGAGTTCTAAGTGTGCTGATTTATATACAGTGGTGCCTCGCTTAACGACGTTAATTCGTTCCAGAGAAATCGCTGTAGAGCGAAAACGTCATAAAGCGAAATTAAAAAGCCCATCGAAACGCATTGAAAACCCCTCAATGCGTTCCAATGGGCTGAAAACTCACCGTCCAGCAAAGATCCTCCATAGGGGCAGCCATTTTCGCTGCCTGTATAGTGAGGAATCCATCCAAAAACACAGCAGGGGGCCATTTTAAACAGCCAGTAGCCATTTTGAAACCCGACGATCAGCTGTTTTTGATCGTCGTAAAGCGAAAATCGGTTCCCGAAGCAGGGAACCGATCATCATTAAATGAAAAAACCCATTTAAAATATCGTTTTGCAATCGCAAAGGCGATTGCAAAAACCTAATCGTCAAGCGATTTCATCGTAGAGCGGGGCAATCGTTAAGCGAGGCACCACTGTATTTATACTTTTCTGTTAACCACATGATGCAAAGAAAAATGTGGATCAGCCTGGAGTCGCCCCACCTCCATTCTTAGATGATCATAATCTCCAAGGCCCACCGCACATCTGGGTACAACCCTAGTCCTGTTTTAGGGATGTTGATCTGGAGTCTTAGGTATGCACACTGAATAATCAGGATGCAGAGGGATATGTCCTGTATGTACTTCATTTGGCTCCTTGAAACTGGAAGCCATGGTGTTGAATATGGAAAGTGGCAGAAGTGAAAATCGTTGCATTTGACTTAACGACAGTGCTGTTCAGTCCCTGATGACTCATTTGAAAATGCAGCTCACCTTTTGGTGCTGTAGGTACCAACTGATGAAGAGACATCATGGACCAACCCTTGCCTTGGCTAGCAGAACAGACTATGTGAGGTTGTCGTCTTTCTTCTCCAACTCCTGGTAGTTCTGCTGGGCCATTAAAGCCTTGTATGTTGGGTGTAGCGCATATGTACGTATGAAGCCCAGGGCAGGTGGCTGTTTGGAGTACATTGAATTGGTAACTGCCAGAAGCCAGCGTGGTTAACAGCTGAGGAGTTTAGTGCCAAACATGGCTGTTTCAGAGTCTGTTAAGTTCAGTGTATATGTTATACTTCCATTTGTGTTGGAGCCTCGGTTCTAGGCACATTTTTTGATGCCAAGGAGCATGTGGAGAAAACGTGGGGCATTAAAAAAATAAAATTAAAAGTCACTCTGCATTGCAGAGTCTTAAGATGTTAAATTTGTTTTGGCGTGATGTGTTTCAAAGAATGAGGCGGGAAAGAGAATCTGGCCCCGAACCCTTTACCCCAGCAACCTTTTTAAGTTATTAGCAAGACTCCACTGGGATTTCTGAACTCCTAGCCCCCTTCCCTTTTAAAAAAAATTCGAAATTTTCTCACCTGCCCCCTGCCAAAGGCCAGCCTTGTGATTTTTGTAAGTTCTCTCTGGCTGAGGAGATCTAGATGCATATAAGCTCCCGGTTTTTCTAAGAGGAGCAAAGGAACCACGCTGGAGTCCTGGATGTTTATCTTGCTCATAGTAGCGCTAACTGCTGTGATGCTCCATATCGGAAATCTTCGTTGCTAATAATCAATGTGCTCTTCTTCTTTTCCCTCTTTTCATGCATTTCCTCCTGTTACTTTTATTTCTATTTGTTTTTACCCTTATTGCATCACGTTTCCTCCAGCCAAAAGGACTGACAGAGGCGAAACTGCTCCAAATGCTATGGCTCAATGAATACACAGTGGGTATAACATGAGATGATGATGCTTTTGGCATTTCCCCACCCTGTGTCTCTTTGCTTTTCTCGTGATCTGTGACTCCTCCGGTAATCCAGGCTCTGCCAACCAACCTTGTCTGTGGTCCACCTTGTGCGTTGCAGTGCAGACAGATGGCAGATTATTTTCGTTTCTTTGTGTAGGTTCATTAATAATGTGCTTTGTGAAACAGGTGCATAAAACTGGCTAGCCTGCTTGCCCGTATATAGTACAGTTGCGCTAGACTTGTGCAGAGTTAAGATAGCTGTCCTGTGCACAGTCCCTTGTAGGTGAGCATTTTTAAGTGAGAGAATGGGACTAACTTCTGGCAGAGTTAAGATAACTCTCCTGTGCACAGTCCCTTGTAGGTGAGCATCTTTAAGTGAGAAAATGGGACTAACTTCTGAGTAAATATCTGTGAGCTGTAAAAGAAGAAAATCTATAATCCCATCTACCTATCATTAATTTTCTGTGAGCTGTAAAAGAAGAAAATCTATAATCCCATCTACCTAGATCATCATTAATTTGATATGGTTGATTTTTTTGGACATTAGGTATAAAGGGTAAAACCCATTTACCTCCAGCTAGAGAAGAACCATTGAACTAATTGGACTTGATTAGTCAACATTTAAGATCCTCCATCCAGCCACCATTTTCGCTGCCCGGTAAGCAAGGAAAGGGCGCGAAAATTCTGCAGGCGGCCATTTTTCCCTGGTGGCCATTTTGGAACTGCCGATCAGCTGTTTTTTAAACATCGCAATGCAAAAATCGGTAAGCAAAACTATGCGGGGCACCACTGTATCTATGAGCTGTAAAAGAAGAAAATCTATAATCCCATCTACCTAGAAGTAAATCATCATTAATTTGACATGGTTGATTTTTTGGACATTAGATATAAAGGGTAAAACCCATTTACTTCCAGCTAGAGAAGAACCATTGAACTAATCAGACTTGATTAGTCAACATTTAAACAAGTCATCATGATCCAGGAAGTGTACTCTACTTGGAACTAATATTATTGCAGCTTCATGGGCCAGGGAGGGAGTTTTGGAGGGCAACGAAAGGTCATAGAAACAGTAAAAGAAACAGGTTTTCTTCAGAGCTTTGAGAAGCAAACAAACAAACAAGCACTGACTCTCAGGAGAAGAACTTTTTATTTCCTTCCTGGCCAAACAGGCATTCATGCTGGCAAAGGAATTTTGTGTCTGGTTGTAAAAATATTTTAAAAAGATATTTAAAAAGGAATAAAGAACAAATGTTCAGAAGCTCAGTGGTTTAAGCCAGTGGTTCTTAACCTTTGTTACTCGGATGCTTTTGAACTACAACTCCCAGAAACCCCAGTCAGGACAGGAATCCAGGCTGCAGGAGCTGAAATATCAAAAAGAGAACAAACATTTAGAAACTCATTCATTTAAGCTATTGAAATACTATCTTTTGCTTTGTGGCTGGGGGTTGTCTTACTTGATATTAGCAAAGCTTTGGTGTCTGTATCCTGTCACATTTTCAACCATTCCACTCATCACTGTAACAATTGTTTGATAATCAAGAAAAAAAAACTCCAGTGATGTTGCTGTTGGTGTTTAGTTGTTCAGTCGTGTCCAGCTCTTCGTGACCCCATGGACCAGAGCATGCGAGGCCCTCCTGTCTTCCACTGCCTCCCGGAGTTGGGTCAAATTCATGTTGGTAGCTTCAATGACACTGTCCAACCTTCTCCTCTTCCCCTCACTCTTTCCCAATATCAGGGTCTTTTCCAGGGAGTCTTCTCTTCTCATGAGATGGCCAAAGTATTGGAGCCTCAGCTTCAGGATCTGTCCTTCCAATGAGCACTCAGAGTTGATTTCCTTCAGAATGGATACCTTTGTGCCATCAACTCACTTCTAATGTGTGGTGACAATATGAGTTAATGACCTCCAAAATGTCATACAGTGGTGCCCCGCTTCACGATGACCCCGTTAGACGACGAAATCACTTTACAATTAGTTTTTTGTGATAGCGATAGCAAAACAACGATTCAATGTGGTTTTTTTGTTTGACGACGATCGGTTCCCTGCTTCGGGAACCGACTTTCGCTTCACAACGATGAAAAACAGCTGATCGTCGGGTTTTCAAAATGGCCTCCTGCTGTTTTCCGGACCTATTTCCGGAAGACAGCAATCGGAAATGGCTTCCCCTATGGAGGATCTTTGCTTTACGATGAGGTATTTTGCCCATTGGAACACATTGAACGGTTTTCAGTGCATTTCAATGGTTTTTATCTATCTATCTATCTATCTATCTATCTATCTATCTATCTATCTATCTATCTATCTATCTATCTATCTATCTATCTATCTATCTATCTATCTATCTATCTATCTATCTATCTATCTATTTATTTATTTATTTATTTATTGCATTTATATGCTGCCCATCTAGACATGGTCTACTATGGGCGGATCACAACATACAAATAGAAAACAATTAAAACATACACAATTTACATAGATAAAAACAGAAAAATATATAATCAAAGAACTTACAATTTTTAACAATCAATTTAAAGCAAAGCAAAGAGTCCCAAGATGGCATGAATTAAAAGGAAAGAAATAAGAAATAAGCATCACTTAATTGACTGGAGGGAAGGCCTGCTTGAATAGCCAAGTTTTCAGTTGGCTTTTGAAGATGCCCAGCGAGGGTGCCAGCCGAATTTCAGTAGGGAGGGTGTTTTACTTTCGCTTGACGACGATATCGCTTAACAGCGATTTTAATGGAACGGATTATCATCGTCAAGTGGGGCACCACTGTATTGTTAACAGCTCTGCCCAGATCTTGCAAACCGATGGCATCGCATGTTAGGTTCTCTCTCCCTACTGCCCCCCTTTTCCTAGCAATGTTGTCTTTTCCAATAAATTTTGCTTAGCTCTTGCAAACTAACAGCTGTGGATTCCTTTTTTGAGACCGTCTTTATTGAGGTCCTCATCTCTTGCTGCTGCCCCAACCCACTTTCTCCAGCAATGTTATAGTTTCTGGAGAGTTCTGTATTTTCATTTTATATTCATGGTAGGAGAGCTTCAGTTTCTTCATTTTTGCTCTGCTGAGTGTTCAGGCTTGGTTTAGCTGAGCACCCACTTTTTTTGCCTTTTTCGCTATCAATGGTATCTTCTTCAATACCACATTTCGAATGAGCTGAATTTTGTTTCTGTTTTTTTTTCACCGTTTTTCTACCACATAGTTTCCAGTGACAATCTTTGCTAATTCTGAGCCCTCCTTTTTAATGTACATTTTAGAAGACAAAGGAGCATCTTTTTGGAAAACATGCGTACAACGCGTTCAGAGAGCTTTTGGTCGAATATACAGTAGTGCCTCGCTTGACGAGAATAGTCCATTCCAGCAAAATCGCTGTAGAACGAAATCGTCATCAAGCGAAAGTAAAAAACCCATTAAAATGCATTGAAAACCGGTTCAATGTGTTCCAATGGGCGAAATACCTCAGCGTCCAGCGAAGATCCTCCATTTTCCGGTGCCTGTACAGCGAAAAAGCCTTCCTAAACACAGCGTGGAGCCATTTTGAAACAGCGAGTGGCCATTTTGAAACCCGACGATCAGCTGTTTTGATTGTCGTAAAGCGAAAAATCGATTCCCGAAGAAGGGAACCAATCGTTGTGAAGCGATTTTTTCCTATTAAAACATCGTTTTGTGATAGCTATAGCAAAATACTAATCATTAAGCGATTTCCTCATCTAACGAGGTAATCGTCAAGCAGGGCACCACTGTAGTTTTTTCCCCTCAGATTGTCTACCCCACGGATAGGGTTTGGAAACTTGAACATAGTTTTCTAGTCTGCATTCTGTAGAGCTGTCATGGCAACATCAGTTTACCTGAGCGGTTAAAGGGTGTGTATGTTTCTTTTGTATGTGTTGCATTTTGCTTCACCATTTCATTAAGTCCAAAAACAGCCCTTCAACATCTTTTGGCACAGGCAGTCTAAAGCCACATCCCAGTTGTTCTGTTCTCCTCCTGCCAACATAGTACAAATCATAAACATCAACACAAAAAAACAACTCTGATGATTTGTGTTTGAGTGACAAGTACTTAACTGATGAAAAAGGGAATACACTTCTGTGATTTTCCCTTGCTTGATGTCACTTTTTGAATGAGAGTGAGCATAGGAGATTGTCCTGTAGACCATGGGTCCCCAACCCCCATTCTGCAGCCCAGTGCCGGTCCGTGCGCTTGCAGGACTGAGCCGTGGAGACAGATTTCTGCCCCCCCCGACATGCATGCATGGTGGGCATGTGCTTGCGGGGGTGGCGTGTCGCACTCGTGGGGAGCGTTGCCCACCCACGAGTGTGACATGCCCACCTGCAAGCGGAGTAGGGATGCCCCCACCCACCCACGCATGGAGCTTACCCCCCCAACCAGTCCGTGGTTCAAAAAATTTGGGGACTGCTGCTGTAGACCATCTAAACTGTTGCCATTGGTGCTGTCAACATTCAGGCTGCCCTTTGCTATGTAAAGCTTGGCATCTTTTTTCCTGCTGGCAACATGGCCATGATATTGTACAGTGCCATTTCCTGGCATTTTGGATCATGGCTACAAAAGCACAATATCCCACATTCATAAACTGGAGTGTTGGTGGTTTTTTTTCAAAGAATTGAACTATCCTTTGTCTACGGGAATCGTACTGGCTGTTCATGGCTCAGGGAGCTCAAATGCCCTCCCATTTTCAACTCTGGCTTTGTTTGCAGTGGGAGAATGCCTCTAAGCAGCATCCATTTCCAGTTTAGTTAGCACATGTGGAACTCCTTGCTGGTTTGTTTCTCAGTAAACTGAAAAGGCTGATTGGGCTTTGCAGGTTTTTGGAGATGCTTCATTTCTTCCAAGAAGGGATGGAAGTGCGTGGAGCTAAGGCCTTTTTATTCTTGGGCAGTGAATTCATTCTTGGCTTTCCTCCATGCTCGGAGGCAAATTTTAGAAACAACTAGAAATAATATTGAGTAATGGTCCGAGGCTGGCCATGGTGCCTCCCTGTCATAACGCCATACCTGGGATAAGACGGATGTTCAGTTCTACAAACTGGGGGAATTGGTGCAGGCTTTTAAATTGGAACCACCGAGATAGTTCTCACAGTATATTTCCTTCCAAAGGATGAGTTAGTGTTTCTGCCTGTTGATTAGGGGGCAGAGGGATAAATTTGCATCCATGTGGTGTTGCCCTGTGACTCTTGGTTTTGGTGATCTCTAGCTTTCATTTACTGACAAATTTGTTTTCCAGCTTTCATGACTGTAAAGATAAATGTGAATTATGATAGTGGGGAAAATGTCAAAGATAATTTCGTATTATAATACTGAGGTTTTCTGGGGTCATGGGAACATGCTAGTTTAAGAAGGAATTAGTGATTCCAGAGAGTAGCTGTGTTAACCTCAGTTCCAAGTATACCAGGAAGAAATACCTGTTGAGCAAATATATGGACAATGGTGCCTCGCTTAACGGCGATAATCCGTTCCAGGAAAATCGCTGTTGAGCGAAAACATCGTAAAGCGAAAATAAAAAGCCCATTGAAACGCATTGAAAACTGTTCAATGCATTCCAGTGAGCTAAAAACTCACCGTCCAGCGAAGATTCTCCATATGGCGGCCATTTTCAGTGCCTGTCTAGTGAGGAATCCATCCCTAAACACAGCGGGGAGCCGTTTTAATAAAATTCTTTTGGGAAGAATCGGTTCCCAAAGCAGGGAACTGATAATTGCAAAATGAAAAAACCCTAGACGCCATGAAGCGAGTCGTTGTTTCATTTTGCAATCGCAAAAGCGATCGCAAAGATGCCATGAAGCGAGTCATTGTTATGCGGGGTAATCGTAAAGTGGGGCACCACTGTAATTGCCGTTCACCTGTAAGTGTATCTTAAGCCTAAGTAAACATACATAAGATTGAACTCGGAATTTAGAGTCTTTTATTCCACATGTGCTGCTTTATTCCTTTATTGTAATAGCTTGTAGTCAGAAGTTCAAAATTCATGTATGAAGAGTGACAGTGAGAGCATGCATGCTTGACCCACAGCCCAACATCCATGAGCCTGTGGAGAAAACACAGAATTTAATGTTTTGAGTATGAAGGCCTAAACATTTGGTTGCATGTTCATCTCCCTTGTGTGTTTGGGAACCTTGACAATGGAACAGAAAACACTGTCTTTTGCTGAGATATATTGCTGGTCCATGGAGTCCAGGAATGTTTCCTCTGACTAGAAGCCGTTTTCCAGAGTTTCAGACAGAATTTATTCCTAATCTTTTTTCAAGGCTCCTGGGCATCCAATTATTGGCCAGGTTTGACCCTGCTTAGCTCACACAATTAGATGAGATTGCCTCTCTCCGCATCTGTTGCTCATGAAAAATCACTGATTGGAATCCTGTTGCACAACTTTACTCTGTGCAACTCAACTTTACTCTGTGGTCATCAACCACAGCGATTAAACATTTCCTACCATCCACCCACCTAGGGAATGGTGGCACTGTGGGTTAAACCGCAGAAGCCTCTGTGCTGCAAGGTGAGAAGCGCACAGCATTCATAAGATCAAATCCACGCGTCAGAGTGAGCTCCTGTTGCTTGTCCCAGCTCCTGCCAACCTAGCACTTCAAAAGTATGCAAATGCAAGTAGATAAATAGGTACCACCACGGTGGGAAGGTAACAGCATTCTGTGTCTAGTCGTGCTGACCATATGACAACGGAAACTGTTTATGGAGAAAACGCTGGCTCTACGGGTTGGAAACGGGGATGAGCACCGTGCCCTAGAGTTGGACATGACTGGACAAATTATCAAGAGGAACCTTTACCTTACCATCCACCCAGGATCCAAACATCCTTAGGTATTCCTTTTGTTCTGGGGAAGTCTGTGGGAGCCATGGAATGGAAGGGATTTTTAATATTTGAAAAATGCCCCTTAAATCCAGGGTGGGAGAATAGGGAAGTTTAATTTATGGCAACAGTTGATGATGCCATGTGGGTTGCATGGCATAAAGTTGTGCAGCAGGATCCTGGCCAACATGACTTTTTAATTTGCATCTCCACATACTTTAAATTTGCAGTTGGTGATCAAGATTGGTTAAAAGTTAAAAGACTGGTTAAAACTAAACTGGCTAAAAGCCTAGTTGAGAATTGGCAAAAGCCGACCTTCCCAAATGCTGTAGGACCACAGCTATCAGCATCTCTCAACCATTAGCCGTGCTAACTAGGGTTGATGGGATTTATAGTCCAGCAACATTATACACATTTATACAACATTTATACATTTATACACCCCCTCCTCGAACTAATCCATCAATTAAGCTTCATCACCCATTAAAAAACCCCTCAAAGAAGTCAAGCAGGGTGCCTGCAGTCTCTAGTCCCTTGAGAAATCAATTGCATCTGAAAAAAAAAACTTTAAAATGCCAGATGTGGTAGATCCGTGGTTCTTTTGCAATGTAAAAGATAGAATAATGCAATCATGTTTTTTTTACCATGTGTAAATAACGCAGGAGTTATTTGTGGCTATGTGCCATAAAATTGCTTCCATCATACGGCAATCCTGTAAATTAGCAAGCATTTAATGTTGACCACATAAAGCTACTGACCATCTTATTTGGTATAATATGCATACATTTATCATTTTGAAAGAAATTGTGTCGATTCTAATAAAGTTTAGGTAATACAGATCCTTGCTCACAGTGCAGAATAACTCACAGTTTCCAATTGTTCTCTTCTTGATTCCTTTAGCTCTTTGAAGGCATGAAGGCATACCGAGGAGAGGATGGCAAGATCCGCCTGTTTCGACCAAGTCTCAACATGGACAGGATGTTGCGGTCAGCTGTACGGGCAACTTTGCCAGTGAGTTTCCGTTCCCTTTTGGCTTAATATAGTATTTTATCTCAGCTGCTGACAGCTTTCAAAAGGTGATGACAGCTAATAGCTTCAGATTTGTCCTAGGAGGACTTCAGTCCCATCTTTATGATATGCCATCAGGCAAATTCCTTGGAAGTAAAAACAGCAGGAGATCATCATAACCTTGGATCAATCTGTAGTTTAAAGACGATAGAATATACAGTGGTGCCCCGCATTACGATGTTAATTCGTTCCAGCGAAATCACTGTAGAGCAAAAACGTCATAAAGCAAAATAAAAAAGCCCATTGAAACACATTGAAAACCCCTCAATGCGTTCCAATGGGCTGAAAACTCACCGTCCAGCGAAGATCCTCCATAGGGTGCCTGCCTTGCGAAAAATGGCTCCTAAACACAGCGGGGAGCCATTTTGAGCAGCCAGTGGACATTTTGAAAACCCGACAATCCGCTTTTTTTATCGTCGTAAGGCGAAGAATCGGTTCCCGAAGCAGGGAACCGATCATCGGGAAGCGAAAAAAGGCCATTAAGACATTATTTTGCAATCACATTTGCCATCGTAAAAATATTGCCGTGAAGCGGATTCGTCGTTATACGGGGTAATTGTTAAGCGGGGCATGGCTGTAATGCATTACATAGATCTCCTTATCATGTAGACTCAACATTACGGGATAGATTGTAGTGACTTGCTGGTAGTACATGCCAGATATGAATCACAAATTTCCCTTTTTGTAGAGAAAAAGAATGGTGAATGGCTGACCTGATCACCAAATTAATGCTTAGTTCAGGCTACTCTTGCAGATAACACCCCCCATCTGTTAAATCAAGAACAGGTGGCTGCTAATCCCATGGGTTACACCAAACAACTGAAGCAGCTGTAAAAGAATGTCAGAAATAGTTTCATAGAAATGCTTTTATTGCTTTCTCATGTATATTTGGGGAAAGCAACTTTCAAAATGCAGAACTTCCAAATTTGTTCCTTGTTGCTGTATAATGTTACGATCCCAGCGTAGATTTCCGCAACCTGCTGAATTCTACTGAATTTTTAAAAAGAAATTGAATGCTTCTTGTTTATCTTAGAAATGATGAATACATGGAAAAAATAATTCCGACTCTATCTTCTTTCTATACATTTAATCATAAGCGGATAATACTGTAATATCACCTTCAAATTAAAGCTGAATCATCAGTTCTGTTCGAGCTTGAGGTCCAACTTGCATCCCATGCCGAATCTCTATATTCTATCCTTTTTTCCATTTTTCTGTTTGTTTTATAGATCTGTGTAACAAGGCAGGTAAGGACCCTGCCCAAGAACCCAGGGAACTGCTATTGTAATAGATCAAAAATGATCTATTACAATGGCCAGTGGCCTTTCTCTGTACAAGATAATTTTACATGTGTACATGACAGTTCTGTGTGTTAGCGTTTAGGACACAAGTTGGCAAATAACAGTAATTAAGGGATGGGCACAGACTGCTCGTTTGGCAGCTTGTGCCAGTTGATTTCTTGGCCAAACAGGTGTTCAGTGATTCCCAGCCCCACCTCCTCAGGCAGGTTTCCACCCAGAGGAGGCAGCGTGCCTCCTCAGGCAGGTGCCCACTCAGAGGAGGCAGCGTCCAGAGGAGGCGGGGCACAGAAACCAGGACATTACGTCTCAATGGGCATCTGCTGGAGGAGGCAGGGCTGGGAAACATCAGACACCTGTTCAGCGGAGACACAAACTGACGTGAACCGGCAAACCAGCTTAATGTAATAGCAACTCATTAAAATGTTCTGTAGTTTTCTTATATATGGCAATAGAAGAAAGCACTGATTTTCTTCCATTTAAAAAAAAATCTTGATTCTTATTCCCAACAAGTTGCCAGCAAAAGTTATTCACAGGTTTACAGCAAAAGCAGTAGGTATTAATTAAGGCAAAATCTGCTGACAGCTGTCACAGGAAATTGGAAAAAAATTTGCACAGTTTGGCCAAAGTAGAATTGCTTAATGTTGTAAATTGCACTAGAGAAGGCCCATTGACTCAATGGGGATTTAGTGAGTTACTGTAACTCCTCCGTACGTTTTGTTGATTCAAATGGGCCTAACTCTAACTGCAGCTTATTGTCCTGTCACAAAAGACTGGCGGCCACAAAACAACTATTGGTTTTTGTGGGTTTTTCAAGCTCTTTGGCCGTGTTCCGAAGGTTGTTTTTCTTAACGTTTCGCCAGTCTCTGTGGCCGGCATCTTCAGAGGACTGGAGTCGAAACTCTGTCTGTGCTCTGGTGTGTACATTACAGTTCTGAGAGCACAGAGCACAGACAGAGTTCTGACTCCTGTCTGAAGATGCCGGCCACAGAGACTGGCGAAACGTTAGGAAGAACACCCTTCAGAACACGGCCAAAGAGCCTGAAAAACCCACGAAAACCAATAGTTGTTTTGTTTCTGCTTAATCATCCCAATATGGGAAAACCTGGGCCATTCTGGTCACTTCTATTGCCTGATTTTCCTCCCATTGAGATGTATCTTCTTCTAATGTTGATCCAGAATCTATCCTTCTGTGACTTCAGCCCATTTGATCTAGTCTAGTCCTCTGGGGCAGCCAAGAACAAGTCTTTGTTTTATTTCTGTGGCACCCTGTGGGAAACTTCTGCCTGAAGACTGTAGCTGCATTCTGTTCCAGTGACGTGCATACACTCCTGGCAGGAAGCGGCAGCTGCCAGCAGGCAGGGTAACCCCTTATTCTACTCTTTCACTAAGAGGTAGAGCATAAGATTAAAGGGTTATTTCAGCCAATCCTGGTTACGATTTGGTAACTAGTATCCTATCTGAATTCTAACAACTTACTATATAATCATGCTAAGTAAATAAAAGCTTTCAGGGCGTTGCCTGTTGGCTCCGCTGGCTCGGACATCCGTTGTTGACTCCTTTGTTCTTTCTCTCAGGCAATTAGCCTTCTTTTGTTCTGTGATCACCCACAGCATCCCTTCATGGACTGAACAGCTCTATTATGTTCCCCATCAGCCTTCTTTTTAAAAAGGCAAATACAACTTGTTCCTTCAGTCTTTCCATGTGGAACTTGTTTTTCATATCCCTGACTATTTTCAGTGCCTCTTCTGAGCCTGAAACAGAACAATTGAGGTATCTGTTTTTCTGCTCAAGTATGTTTATAGCTCCTCAAAGATCCAAGTTTTCTTAAGGGCAGCTTAGAACTCATATAAAATACAGTGAATTTTAAAGCCAAAGTCCTATTTTTTAAAAAATCTGTGTAGTCATGGGCAGCTGCAAAGCAGTTTCCTCAGCCTGGCAGGCTGTCTTTCATTTTGCAACCAGTGCATGACTGGTTTCACAGTGGAGAGCATGCCGGGGAACGGTCCGTGCCCGATCACACGTGAACAGGTTTCTGACCGCTAATACTGCAAACCTATATGCAGCCTAATAATAATAAAATAGTGGCACAATGGTTAGTGTAGAGATCGTTAAATTGGCAAATGACGATGTTGAAAGAACCCATATTGCTGCCCATGCTGTGAAATGAGTCTAAAGAGCCTTTTGGCTGTATCTTGATTTATATGAAACCAGCTAAGGTGGATATTAATGGCAGGGATGTGACTAGAAGCTGTACTAGAGCTTGTCTGGGAGTCTTTCAAAGCCATGGTCTTCTGTCCCCAATCTGGGAGAAAAACACAGAATGAAAGTAATAATAATCATTTAAGGAGTGAGACTATTCCCTCCCCTCATGTTGAACACTTAATATCCTCCAACACGTATTTCTATGCAGCTGCATGTTCAAAATACATTTCACGATGGTGATGAAATTAGCCAAGCCGGCTTGTTTCTGGGCTGCTCAAAATCATAAGGCCTTTTGGCACAGTGGCTTGTCACACATGAACGGTAGCGTACTTAATATGCTGGAACATCATGGCCTCTGACTTAATGGCCTAATTAAATGTTCCCTTTGGAGCGTGTTCTCATAAACATTATTTCTAAGCGTCATCTTCCTCTCTTCTTGCTTTCAGGCATTTGACAAAGAAGAACTTTTGGAGTGTATCCGGAAATTGGTAGAAGTCGAAAAGGAGTGGGTACCATACTCAACCTCTGCTAGCCTGTACATTCGGCCTACTTTAATTGGAACAGAGGTAGGGGGGGAAATACATGACCCTTCCTTCCTTCCTTCCTTCCTTCCTTCCTTCCTTCCTTCCTTGGTCCTTTGGGCTGCCTAGAGGTTGCCACAACAACCATCTTGCTCTATTTATTGATTTACTGTTATATTCCTTCCTTCCTTCCTTCCTGTAAAAGTGTAACATAGAGCAAGACACCACCTTGTGCTGTATGTATGTATTGCAGTAAGAGAGTGCCAAAGAGTCATGGAGAAACAGAAAAAGGGGGAAATAATGAGCTAAAATTTAAGTAGATACTATATTTTGCTTATCCCTGCCTGTGTCAACACTGAACAGAAAAAGGGGGAAATAATGAGCTAAAATATAAGTAGAAATTATATTTTGCTTATCCCTGCCTGTGTCAGCACTGAACCATTGCACTGCTATACTAGTTTAGCACTAGACCACCTTTGCATTTTTAAAAAAATGCAAACAAAAAAGTAAAGTAGAAATTATATTTTGCTTATCCCTGCCTGTGTCAGCACTGAACCATTGCACTGCTATACTAGTTTAGCACTAGACCACCTTTGCATGTTTAAAAAAATGCAAACAAAAAAGCAACCCAGAGAAATTGAAAGATATCCCTGTGGTATGTGTGTATTTCTTTACACATTTACAAGAACTTTGAAATACTGCCACTTTTTCTGGAACATGGTGTAACGCTTTCAAAACCAAATGGCTTGACAGCTAACTGTAAAAAGATCTGCAGAGGTGAGACCAGCGGAAAGAAGGGTCAGCAGAGGTGGGACCAGAGGCAGGAAGGAAAGAAGGATTGCTGTGGGCTGGAATGATGAGACCAGAGGAAAGAAAGCTCAGCAGAGGTGGGACCAGAGGCAGGAAGGAAAGAAAGGTTGCTGTGGGCTGGAATGTGAATTGCATTGCTTCCCATATGAAAGGTGAACTCCTGAACCAATCCAAAGTCGTTATGTGAGTGCTGATTATGTCAGTGCTGAGTGCAATTTCAAACGTAATATAGGCTGTGAATTAAATTCCAGTATAGTTGCAACCTAAGTTAGTTGAACCGAAGTCCATTTCAGATCACTAGATCATTAACCATGACTTGATTTCAGCATGAATGAAATACAACCAAGGTAGCTCAAATCCAGCATATTGCTTGCAGCAGCTTTTGGAGACTGATGCAGGATGAGAGGACTGTAAAAGCTGGGTAACGTCAATGGGCATTGCCATAACTCTTATATAGTGGTGCCCCGCTAGATGCTTATCCCGTTAAATGATGAAATCGCTTGACGATGCCTTTTTTGCGATCGCTATAGCGATCGCAAAACAATGTTTCCTATGGGGTTTTTTCGTTTAACGACGATTAGGTCCCTGCTTCGTGAACCGATTGTTCACAAGACGACGATTTAAAACAGCTGGTCGGCGGTTCGCAAAATGGCTCCTCGCTGTTTTCCGGACTTATTTGCACAAGACAGAGATGCAGGTATTTCCCCCATTGGAATGCATTAACCAGTTTCCAATGCATTCCAATGGGGTTTTTATTTTCGCATTATGACGATTTTTTCGCATTATGACGATTCCGCTGTACAGCAATTTTAATGGAACGCATTATCGTCTTCATGCGGGGCACCACTGTATCAGGGGCATGATGATGCCTCCTGATGTTATCAGGTCTCCAGCCAAAACACTGGGCAGAAGAGCACAGAGAACAATCAGGAGCAGAGCTGTCTCAGCCTGTGCTCAGAAATGCTGGCTGAGGTTCATCCAGAGGGTCCCGTACTTTTGTTAAGAGCAGGTAGCGTTACTTCCGTTCTGCTCCTCCTTTAAGTCAGGAGGAGGAAGAGCAAAGCTGCTTTTTGCAGGTGCCAGCTGAAATGCAAAGCTGGGGCTCATCCAGCATCTGTAAGCATTCCTTCTCCAATTCTTCCTAGCAATGGCCAGGAGGGGAATGGGCTTCAGAAGGGATGACGGATAAGAGAGCAGGATGTTCTCCAGGCTGGGATTGGGATGTTCTCTCATGCATTGGCCGCATTAGGCCCATATACCAGAGAGCCCCTGTCTTTTTATCTGGCTCTGGTGTTAATAACCCTTCCCCATGAATAAGGTCTGCTTCGCAAAGCTTTTCTTCCACAGATCTGCCTTGCAGGAAAAGACAAGTTGTCTACACTGCCATGCATCACAAAAGTATACGACAATCTGGTGCTTGCAGCATTGAAGTGATATCCTTTTTAGGAAAATGGTCCTTTGTGAAGCATCCCTAATGCCATATATTGTATTATAGAGGCCACTGCATTAACTACAGTACAGTAGTCTGGAAAAGAAATTTATCTGCTTTTACATTCATAAGTGATTGACAATAGTACCACCTAGTGGAAATATTTTGTGTGAATATGTGTATCCCTCCCCTACCTCACATTATTTATTGCTAGTGGTCCACACACTCATTTTCAGACAGAGGTGCCCTGTAGTCATTAGGATCTGGTGTGGGAAACCCTTCTTCATGTCCTGCTAGCTTGGGATCACCCTCAATAGCTTGTGGTTTTTTGATGCTGCCATCTGTACGATCTCGAGCAGTGGCTATGCTTTGGATTTTTAGAAATCAGGAAATCTGAACACTGAATGTTTAAATTTATCTCAGAACCTTCAGTTTGCTCTTTCTGTCTTAATTGCTTAATTACTACAATGCTTTAAAGGCTTTTAAATGTTTGGAAGCATTCAAATAGTTATTGTTCTTTTAATGAGGTTTTATTGAATGTGCCAGCTTTGAGTCCTCTTGATTCAGGGCAGGCTAGAAACACACACACAGACATACACAAAGTAAAGGTAAAGGTTCCCCTTGACATTTAGTCCAGTCGTCACCGAGTCTAGGGGGCGATGCTCATCTCCGTTTCCAAGCCATAGAGCCAGCATTTGTCCATAGACAGTTTCCGTGGTCATGTGGCCAGCGTGATTAGGCACAGAAGGCTGTTACCTTCCCACTGATGTGGTAACTATTTATTGGCTCTCATTTTTACATGCTTTCAAACTGCTAGGTTGGCAGGAACTGGGACAAGCGACAGGAGCTCACTCAGTCGCGTGGATTTGATCTTACGATGGTTGGTCTTCTGACCTTGCAGCAAAGAGGTTTCTGCGGTTTAACCCACAACACCACCACGTCAGTTTTACACACACGCACGCACGCGCACACACACATTTAGAAATTATAAATAAATAAAGCAAGTAAATAGTGGATATAACATTTTATGTACTGACAGAAGAAGATTAAGGGAAGGTATGATAGCACTTTTCAAATATTTGAAAGGCTGTCATACAGAGGAGTGGCAGGATCCCTTCTCGATCATCCCAGAATGCAAGAAAGGCAACAATGGGCTCAAGTTACGGGAAGCCAGCTTTCGGTTGAATATCAATAAAAACTTCCTAACTGTTAGAGCAGTACGACAATTGAACCCATAATCTTGGGAGGTGGTGAGTACTCCAACACTGGAGGCATTCAAAAGAAATTTAGACAACCACCTATCTTTTGCTTTGTATTTCTGCATTGAGCAGGGGGTTGGACAAGATGGCCTTATAGGCCCCTTCCGACTTCATGATTCTATGAATTTTGTAGTTCAGCTTCTGCCAAAAGTTAAGATTGACTTCTGCCTTAATTTCATGAAAAAGAACCAGCCTGGCAACCTCTACCTCTTCATCAGTGGCTTGATCTGTAGATATTAGCATATATGACATGGAACTAACTTAATAAGATCCTGTGGTCATTGCTGGAGATCTGGGTGCTGTTGAAAGAAAAAAGGGAAAGACTGTTCATAACAGCACCTGGAGCGCTCCACGTGAACTTCCATCACTCAGAGACTTAATTCACACAATGTAGCTAGTAGCCAGGCCCCTCCCAGGATCAAGAGATAATCAATCTGAGGTTGTTCAGGTGGATTCTGGTGTTTAGTTATCATTATTTTGATTCCTGTTTGTTTATTTAAAATATTCTTCCCTGCCTTTCTCTTTAAAAGGACCGGAGGTGGCTTACATAATTTAAAAGACAGTATTGAAAAACTAAGAATAGTGAGTGTACAAATATTCAAAAAGAATTCAACAAGTATTATACAGTATTAAAAACAATAAATAAAATCAGTACTAAAAACACGTTTTAAAGCAACAGAGCAAATAATCCATTTAAAATCTCCCTCTCAGACCGCCAGTCACTAAGGGAAAGCCGGCCTAAAGAGAAAGGTCATGGCCTGCTTGCAGAAGGATAGCAAAGATGGGGCCAGGCTGGCCTCCTGTGGGAGGGAGTTCCAGAGTCTGGGAGCAGCAGCAGAAAAGGTCCTCCCTCATGTCTCCACCAAGTGCGCTTGTGAAGATGATGGGATCAAGAGAGAGGCCTCTGATGATCTTAATGCCCAGGCAGGCTCATTGAAGGAGATAATGTATATACTGTATTTTTCTGTGTATAAGACGCCCCCATGTATAAGATGCCCTCCACTTTTCTAATCCAAAATTAAGAAAAATAAGTGGGGCTTAGCAAATGTAGGGGAAAGGGATCAAAGCGCTGCAGGATCGCTTTGATCCCTGCTTTCCCCTCCACTTGTTTTTGTTCTCTCCTCAGCTTACTTCCGTGTATAAGATGAGCCTCAATTTTGTTTAAGCAAAAATGAACCCACTGATTGTCTCTTGTCTTTCTTTCCTATGTTCAGCCTTCTCTTGGGGTGAAGAAGCCATCCAAAGCTATCCTCTACGTCATACTGAGCCCTGTGGGTCCCTATTTCTCAAGTGGCACTTTCAACCCCATATCGTTATGGGCTGATCCAAAATATGTCCGGGCCTGGAAAGGAGGGACAGGTGACTGCAAGTTGGGAGGGTAAGAGAATTCTCTGAAAAACACTGTGGACTTCAAACTGTAGCGCAGGGTTTTCATCCTCTCCATTATAGCCATGAAAACCTTTAAGTTACCCTGTAGGAAATATTAGATACTGGAATCTTTGTAAGCAGTCTTGCGTATGAAGGCACGCAAGAGTTTTATATCCTCAGAACACATTCATTCAAATAACCCCATCCTGCTATTTTTCTCTGTTTCCGAAAGGAACTACGGCTCTTCTATTTATGCCCAGCGTGAAGCTATGGAGCTTGGGTGCCAACAGGTTCTCTGGCTTTATGGCGATGAGCATCAGATTACAGAGGTTGGAACCATGAATCTTTTCCTGTATTGGCAGAATGAAAATGGAGGTACAGTGGCATGCATTTCCACCTCTTGTCCTTTCTAACCCACCCCCCGCTCCCATCCTTGACAGCCATATTTGTAGTAGACATATGTTCGTACATGTGCGCTGGAAGTTGACGGCCAAAAGTACTCAAACACACGCTGAGCCCAAATTTTAACAAATGAAGCCGTGTAGCAGCCATGTTTTGCTGCGTTTCAGAGAAAGACTGAGCATTTTCGGCTTTCCCATCCATTGTTATTTTTTCTCTGGCTCTTTCAAAAAGGAAGATACAGGTGCTGCAAGCCACACTTGACTGGAGGCCCCAGCTGACATACAGGGTGAAAATTATTTGTCAAAAATTGTTCTAAAGGGTTCACAGCTCCCCTGCTCCTCTATGGCAGCTGGCTGGGCAAAATGTCTGTGTATATGACTGCCTTGGTTCCAGGGTAAGAAGGAACGGGTTTTTGCTGGGGTTGTTTGGTGGGATTCGGAGTTCTGTAGGCCATTTTTTTCCAGCTGCCTTGCTGGCTTAAGTGAGTGAGGTGCCTGGCTGTGGAGCCAGAGATTGGGAGTTGAATTCCCTGCTGTGCCTCCTGGGAGAAGAGCCAGCCTGTATAGCCTTGGCAAAACTGCACAAGGTGTTCCAAAAGGAAAGGAATAAGAAATTACTTCCAAGTACTCTCTACTTAGAAAAGGCTGTCAAGGTTTGCTATAAGTTGGAATTAACGTGATGGCATATAATTATTATTTTAGCCTGGATATTTTTTGTAGTAGTAGTAGTAGTAGTAGTGATGATCATCATCATCTAATTTATTTTGTTAGTAGTAGTAATAAGAATGAGAATAAAAGAGCAAGAATAAAAATATACTAATATGATACTGTCATAATAAACATGATCTTAACATGTCACTAAAGGAGCACAATAGAAGGAACAAGTAATAACTAACATATGAATTTGAACAAACTGGCAAGTAATCTCCAAGGTGGCTTTTCAAAAATAATGGCCAGAATCCCGTTGCCTACATTGCATAAAAGTGATCATGCCAGCTGTATTTTTGCCAGTTGTCCTTTCTGCCTCGAGGGGACCCCTGGCTGCACATGACCAACAGGTGGCAAAGGGCAGAAACGGTGTCCTTAGGTGCATGATTTTGCACAACTCTGCCCTGTGAACTGGGTGAGGTTGCCTGAAGGGGCTTGTGGTCGGACCAGCACTTGAATGTGGAAAGAATCGCAGGTGATGTGACAGATGTTATTACTCAAATGTCCTGGAGGAAACTATGCGCTTGAGCAGCCAGTATGAGGCTGGTGAAAAAGCTTCACAGTGACTTCGTGACTCTGTTCAACACAGAGCCACTTCTGTGTTTCAGCCATACCATGTGCTTACCAGTGGATCCATGCTATAAGCCTACCAGTGGATCCATGTATAAGCAATTCTGTGTGGGGCCTTCAAAGTGACTGATCTGTCTGTTGCATCAGCCAGACATTTATTAGGTCCTGTTTATACAGTAAGGGGAGAAAAGTGGTAACATCCTGCTTGATAAGCAAGCAATGTTTGAACCTAGGATATACCTTCTCTCTATATCAGATGCCTCAAAGGGTTTGTTTGAGTTCTCAAAGGCTTTCACGGCCAGGATCCGATATTTGTTGTGGGTTTTTCAGGCTGTTTGGCCATGTTCTGAAGGTGGTTCTTCCTAACGTTTCGCCTGTCTCTGTGGCCGGCATCTTCAGAGGACAGGAGCTAGAATTCTGTCTCTGCCTTTTCCAGGGAGAATTTGGACCCTTTCCCTTTTAACTGTGGTTTATAGATATTGACTGTGACTGTGTATGTAAAAATAAGCAAAGACACAAATGTATAATCCTTTTTTTAAAAAAAATGCTAGACTTCTGTCTTTTGTATTGATAGAAGAGGAACTGGCTACCCCACCACTAGATGGCATCATCCTACCTGGTGTGACAAGGCAGAGCATTTTGGATCTGGCACGCATGTGGGTAGGTGTGTGGACTTCACCACAACAGCTTTATTTGACTGTAATGACTGATCTGCTCCAAGGGAGGGAACTCAGTCCCCGAGGATCTGAGTCTGTGGGCACTTGTGTTTTCTCGTTGCTTTCTCCGGCTTGCTGGAGGCAAGGAAGGTATAAAGATCACCAAGCTGGCACTTGCAGTAACTTCAGAGCAGCTGTGTTAACCTGTGGAGAATAAGCTGGATCGTGACCCTCCCTCCTAGCACCCACACACTGCACATACCTCTGTGGCAGATCATGCGGCCGAACCTGCTAGGATTCTGCTTTGAGCAACAGTTGCTGAAAATGTCGGGTGTATCGTCAACAAACAAATATGTTAATTTCTCCCTTAGCTTGTCTATATAAATTACTTGTTTGCTTTTAAAACAAGGGAAAACTATGAATAATTGAACAATGGGTTTTTTAAACAATTTTGTGTGTCTCTCCCTTTTGCAGGGGGAGTTTAAAGTGTCGGAGCGGTACATCACCATGAGCGAACTGAAAACTGCCCTGAAGGAAAACAGAATGAAGGAGATGTTCGGTGCTGGGACTGCTTGTGTTGTGTGTCCTATTTCTACAATATTATATCTGGGTGAGGTGAGGGCAAGAGTTTTGTTATTCATCTTGCAAAATAAGGTTGTTCGGTGATGTCCACAACTTCTGAAACATTGTCATATGTTTCAATACTTGACTGATTCAAAATAGGCTATGGTAGGTTACTAAATATAAGCTCACTTCAAACCATGGTTTAAAAGCTACTTTAAACCAGGATGCTGGTTGCAAAAGCTGTGCAAGAGAATAGAATCCTAATGCTCCCCATGAAAGTTATTGGGGGCAACAAAACCTTTACTATCTCTTTTTTAGTAATGAAAACTCTAATGAGCGATGGGAACTGATTACTTTGAAAAAGTAACTTTCCAAACATAGCTTAAAATCTTGCTGCCTTGTTGAGCATGAGAAAGGTAAAGTATTCAGTCACTTCCAGCTAGCAATTAATGAGTCTCTGCTGAGATTCTTGGGGATGCACGTATACACCCACCTTGGCACACAGTCGAGAATCCAAGTGGGGACTTGTTAATTGCCAACAAGATGCTGAAAGGTTGCCTTCCACATATGTAACGAAGCCACAGAATTTGAGCCATTGTCTGTAAGGTTCAAATATGATTAGAAACTTTATTTTATGTTTGGGAGTTGATTGCATTTATACTTGTTTGCTAATGAATGTATTCAGGTAGTGGCTGCATATCAGAATTGCTTGCCAGTGTTTTAAGACCTCTCTGCTGTCATAGCAGACCTTAAGCTTTTTAACCTAGAAAAAATAATGAATGTAACTGAAGCCATTTCTAGGAAAGAAGTTAATTTTTCCACTGCTGATTTTGATCCTCCTCCCTCATTATTCTTAGCTTTTCTAGTCCATAAGACCCATAACTTTTCTCAACAGTTTCATACACTTGTCTGACCCCTTCTTTCTTTAGAATTTGCACATTCCAACGATGGAGAATGGACCTCAAATAGCTACGCGTTTCTTGAACCAGCTCAGTGATATCCAAGTAAGAGTCTTACTTCTTTTCCGTGATAATGATGCAAGAAAACAATGATTAAATTACGCCTTTGACTAGCAGCACCCTGGCCAAAATATTATGTTATATTTATTTATTTATTTTGATTTTTTTTACCGCTTATTTGGCTACCATGGCCACTCGGGGCAGTAGGAATTCAGTTTACCAATTTCTCTGAATTGTGAAGTTGGATCGAGATGAGCTAGCTTTGTGTAAGAGTGCAGCATGATGGTTGCCAGCTTGGATGGCTCCAAAAGGAGCCATCAAACCTGATCAATGAATGGCACCTCCAAGACAGTAGGCCACTGAATACCCAAGTCTGGGAAGCAACACTGGAAAAGAACCAACGCCTGAAGTTTTCCTGATCATCTCATGATCACTGAGGGAAAGAAGGATAATAGAGAAAGTAGGACTTTAATTTGGTACCACAGAATTTTACTCATGTTCTTATGGGCCCACCAGTCACAAAATGTGTATTTACAGCAGAAGTGGGCCTTCAGGTGGTGGTGTACTACAGCTTCCATCAGTCCAAGCCACCATTGCCAATGGTGTGGGATGCTGGATGTTGCAGTCCAGCAACACCTGGAAGGCCGCATTTTCATACCTACCTGTAGATGGGTCTCCTATGGAGACCTCAGGAATGCCATTCTTCTTACACCATCTATTCATTGTCTCGGCAGCAAGAAGACACGGTACAAAAGCTTCTTCCTGGCATAATGGTGATCCATATATGGCAGTGATTCCCAACCTTAGATAACCCTGGTGTGATGGGACTGCAGTTCCCAGAAGGCTTCACAACCAGCTGTTCTGGCCAGGGTTTCTGGGAATTGCAATCCAGGAACACCTGATTTACCTAAGGTTGGGAATCACTGATCTGTGGAGATGTTTTGAGGTAGAGATTCTTTTAAGCAAGGATTCCGCTCTGTGTTTTCTTCAACAGCATTGTTCTCAAAAGGCTTTCTCACATGCCCATCCTATTTGTTTAAACTGCTGTAAAGTACAGTGGTACCTCACTTAGCGATCGCTCCGTTGAGCGATGAAATCGCTTAGCGACGGAGTTTAAGTGATTGCAAAAGCGATGGTCCCTACGGGGAAAATTCACTTTGCGATGATCATGGGGAAGCGATCATTGCAAAGCCCCTATTTTCGGCCAGCTGATCGGCGGTTTCAAAATGGTCGCCGGGTAAACAAAATGTCTGCCTGCTGTGTGTCCTCACTTTAGAGACACCGAAAATGGCCGCCCCTATGGAGGATTTTCGCTTAAGGTTAGTTTTGAAGCCCATAGGAACGCATTAATGGTGTCTTAATACGTTTTTATGGGCTTTTTAATTCCGTTTAGCGATGAAATCGCCTAGCAACGTTTTTTCCTGCACGGATAAACGTCGCTAAGCGAGGCAGCACTATACTGGGAACCCTTTGAAAAGCGAGATGGAGCCTATTAGGAAAATCCCACAATCATAGTTGGGACCTCTTGCAGTAATTCTCTTCTTCCTCTATCTTTCTTTTTCTTCCCGCCTCTTGCAGTAATTCTCTTCTTCCTCTATTTTTATTTTTCTTCCTGACTATGGTCGTGGGGAACACAGTCAATTTGTATTTTGGTTTATGTATTTTATGTTTATGTTGTAGTTAAAATAAAATTTTAAAAAAGAGAAGAAAATCCCACAATATTCTGTGTATCTGCTGTGTGGCCACAGAATCTTTTCCTTCCATGGACACCAGAGCTGCAACGAGGTGACAGTAACAATAATAACAAGAAGGCTTGGGAGAGGGCTGGATGTCACAGTATCCCTCCTGGCATCTCGACAGCCATCTCTTCTGCCTGGTGAGGCTTACGAGGGTCAAGGAAGGTTTTCTTTGCAATTCATCCCCTAAGCTTCATGGCTGAATGAGAATGACACACACACACCCAAGATTTGACCTGGGCTCTTCCTGGTCTTAATGAGCGTGCCACTTTGCAGTTCGGTTTCTCATAAGGCTCTTTGCTTCTTTTTCAGTACGGTAGAGAAGAAAGCGAGTGGACGGTTGTGGTCTCATGAAGAGAAACGGCAGGGAGGACTCTAACCTTCTGGCAACACAACAAAACAGGCTGAAGTACCCCCCTGGAGGATGGCCAGTTTTACTGTAGCTCTACGTAGAGTAGTCTCTGTGTTATCACTTTGTTCCCGGGCTGGGGTGGTGGTTTCCACATGATGCCAGGGAGTGTGAACACAATCATTTTGAATTTTTTTTTCTACTGTGATTTTGGTTTAGAATAGAAACCTGTCTTCTGGTAGAGGTGCTAGATGTAAGCAATAGACACTTCCTTAGAGGATTTCTTGGTTCCCCTTTGTGTCCTTGGTAGATTTGACACGTGTAAAAATTTCTTCAACTGATCTTCAGTGCAAACCAAGTATTTTTTAAAAAAATGATTTTATTTAACTTTTAAACCACAGACCAGGATGTTAAATTGCCAAATGACTCAAGGAACTCTTTGGGATCTCTGAGTCTTCTCTTCATGTCTAGCTTTTTGAGATAATATTTTTCCCTTGCTATCTCTGGGGCGGGGAGAGGTGTGTCTGTGTGTCTGTGTGTGTGTCTGTGTGTAAAACATTGGTCACAGTTTTCTAGAAGTTTGAAGGACCACATTTTAAAACTTTCTTTCTTTCTTTCTTTCTTTCTTTCTTTCTTTCTTTCTTTCTTTCTTTCTTTCTTTCTTTCTTTCTTTCTTTCTTTCTTTCTTTCTTTCTTTCTTTCTTTCTTTCTTTCTCATCTTTTTTTGCCTTGATCACTTGAAGCCAAATCTCCTAGCCACATATCTTTCTAGACAGGAAGAATTCTGTTGTGGTACCTGTTGACACCATGCCGTAAGTGGATCCAAATTACAATGGTTCCCACCCACGCCCGACTCCTAAGTGACCTCTATCTGTGCTGTGCTGTAGAGTATTATATGAAACTAGGTTCTGTGCAACCCATAGAACATGATACAATCCAATTCTTTGTACTTTCTGCAGAGCACTGATAGCACAGTCTGTTGCTGGAGGCGTTGACCGTGAAGTCTCATAATCCATCGCACCTCCTTCATAGTCTAGCTGGGTTTGCCACCCATAATTTTGCAAACATCACACAAATTGAGCAACAAAGCTGATTCATTAAGCACAGCCTTAGTCTAGCAGAAGATGCAAGAATGTGTTGTGTTAAGCCTTCTAATATGTTAGAGAGCATCTGTCCATATCAGGGTGGCAGGATCCATTCCATTCTTCATTTTTTTTAAAAATAGACCCCACTGAACAGAGGCAGTTATAAAATAATGACTTTGAGAGATTGGCGGGGAAGCAAAATGGTGGCTCAGGAGTGCCAGGTTCTTGTCCAAGCTAACTACACCAAGCTCAGAGCCTCCAAATACAACAAACAAACAAACAAACAAAAAACAGTTACAAAATGCCACATTTTACATTATTCTTAGAGAAGCTCAGAGCCTCCAAATACAACAAACAATCAAAAGCAAAAAAAAAAAAAAGTTACGAAATGCCACATTTTACATTATTCTTAGAATAATTCACTTTTTTTGCAATATTGTGGGGTCTGTTGAAATTCTCAGTATATCTTAAACTGAGAGTCTCAGTATATCTTAAACTGACCAAGACAAGGATCAAAGTTATGTGATCTCTCAGGGTAAGGGTTAAAGTTCTGTGACCCCCTTCCCTGTGAACTCTGCGTTGTGATAACCTGAATATACAACTCTGCATCTAAGGGGGTTGCTGTGTTGAATGGAAAAGCCATTCCTGTTGTTAACGTTGCTAAACAACCAAGGCTCAGAAACATTTGTCCTTCTATAACAAAACAGTCCAGCCATTGTTTCGTAAATCACATCTACCTGATCAAGCCTTCTGCCTGCTTGATATTAAACCATCTTAAACATCTAATAGCCTTTAAAAAGTGGCATTAAATGTTCGATACAAGAGCTCGGGTAGGATCAGGTTTTATTTATTCCCTATTGATCTAGCGCTATTTTTATCCCTTCTCCAATGCATCTTTCTCTCCCCCCCTCCCCGAATCTTTATTTGGATCGATTCATACCTCTCCAGTTCATTGCTTATTGTTGTTTTTATCTCTCACCTGACAGGAATCTTTCCATCTTCTAAGCGAGATTATTAGTTCTTGGCTCATCCCTTTCTGAGCTAGCTTTAAGAGGTCTTTTGCCAAAGAGGTTACTTACTACAGCGTTCAGTGCTCTCAAATTCCAGGGGCAGATCTTTATTGAGTTAACCTTCTTCTAGTTTGATAGGGGCAGCAACTGAATCACGCTGGTAAGACAGCCCAATAAAATAGTATAGAGAAATAGTTTCTCTGTTTTGCTTTTGCACTATTGCAATATTCACAAATAATAGTCGTTCCCCCCATTCATCAATGGGGAGGATGAAATTTTGGGAAGTGTTGAACTCTGCCGCTTTTTGAACTGATCCTACCTCTAATTGTTGATTTGAAAAACAACTAGATGCTAAGTGTCTCTCTTTCTCTCTCTCTCTCTCCCTGCCCCAATTTTCTTCTTGATTGCCTTGTAATCAGGTAGCCGCTGTAGCTACCTAAACTATTCATGAAAAGGACATGGCATGGGATATCCCATATTTAACCTCTACAGGATGCAAGTGGTGGAGAGACTGCATGTTTAAATCCTGGCCTGTGTGAGCACTTGCTAGGGTCTCAGGGAAGAATGTTAGTGACACAGGCTTCTTCCTGATCTGATGGTTTTAAATGTATAAGAGTAGGGCAGACCCTGCCATTAGGCGGAATGAGGTGATTCACTCAGGTGGGAGATTCAGGGTATCATAAAAGCAAATCTGTACTGACTTAATTTGCCTCTGTTGTGTTTGTTACTGCCGGGGAGGGGGGGAGAGGAGTACTTTGGGAATTTTCGGCTTTTTGTGCCAAATAAGTTGAGAAGCTCTGGGTATTCTGGATCTTGATTTCAGTGGGTGTGAGTCCCTTTTATTATGCTCCACCCCAACATGTTTTGAGCTAGCGTTACAAGATAGAAGAGCAGCACAATTTTGTGTTTCATAAAAAGACATAGAAATGCATCAGTGCATTTTGAAATATATCTAGCCTAGTCAGAAGAAATGTTTTGTTCCACCTGTTTTTTTTTTTAAATAGTCAACTATATAATCCCCTGCTGGCATCCTGAATTGAAACACTCCCAATAGGACTGTGCCAGTTCCCTTTTCAGAATGTTTTGTTTAATCCGTGTATATGTGCATTAGATGATATAATTCAAGTGTTAGTTACCAATGCTAGATACAGCTGGCAGCTGTTCCTGTCAGCATAACAGGAGACATCGTCAGCCCCGCTAGCATCTCAGCTGGAAAAGATCCTGCCAACTGTATCTATCTGTAAAGATACCTGTTAAGACCTGAACATTTCTCTGCACAAGGTCAAACCCAAGTTAGACCCAGGGCTCTTTGGATGGGGAATAAAGCTGGTTTTGTAGCTTTGCTCTCTGCTGATGAGCAAGGAACTCAAGACAGACTTTGGTTTTTGCAACTTTTGATGTCACTTTATTGAAGACCAGTTGAAGCTCATAGCGCCAGGTTTAGAATACTCACGTTAAGCACAAACCGTTGTACCATTTATGGTAGAAGTAGCACCATTTATTTTCTTCTTCTTCGTACTTCTTGAGTGTATATCGTGCTCCAGTCATTGTTCATTTTCAGTCCAAGTATTGCTAGCCAGTGGTGTGTGCTGGGGGCTTCTCACTGCCTCCTACGCGTTCGACCTGGCGCCATTGTATTAAGAGACGTGATCAACAATTTTGACGTAAAGTGGAGGGTTATTTGAACAAGGCCACGATCATCTCTGCCGAGTGCCTTTTGGATATATCTTCATTAAGACTTCATTAAGACCAAGACTATATACTCCATACATTCTCCTGCAAAGTGTCAGAAAAGCTACTTTTTAAAAGTAATTTGTTGTGTGACATACACACCCCATGAATTGGTTAACATTACAAAAATTGCTGATAATTTGTGTTAATTGGTCACTCATTGTACTGTCATTACATTTTTAAGGGAGGAGAAAGCTGTTCGAAATCATGAGATACTGTTCAGCAAAGTTGGGGAAAAAATTCTGCGAAAAGGAGAGTCAAATGCCAGGAGAGTAGGAAGTGAATGCCAGTGTCATAGATAGAATGTCAGGATCAGACTCTGATCTGGGTTCAAATCTCAGTTTGACAATGAAAAGCCATGGGGGGGGGGAACGTGACTGGTAAAACCACTCCTTATCTCACGTACTTCTGAATCCCCACTAACATTGCCATTGGTCGACTTGATGGCACACTAATAGACATAACAAAAAAGTAAGCATAATGTTGCTCATTATGCCAAGGAAACCAAACAAATCCACATGTCACTCCTACACCTTACATTGGTTTTGAAATGTAACTTCATTATCCCTCATTACCACAAAAGTTGTAGATGTACTTGCAATTTTTTACTTCCAAGCTTTGTAAGCAAGGGAGTTGATTCATAGTAAATCAAAAAGAGAGAAGGATGGATCACCTTTAGCTCTAACAGTGCTTTTTCTCCCAGAACTATCCTCCGTACAGAACTGCTACTTCCTTGCTTGCTGAGGAAAGCAGCTACATTATGGGGGGAAGTGACTTCCAAGAGGTTGATCTTGCCAACTGTTTCTATACTACATCATCTCCCCTGTTGGTTTGCATGGGGATCTGCTCCCCTGCAAGGCTATGTATTTTTCCACCGTTCAGTATCTTCTCTTGAGCTTAGGAAAGGCTCATGGCTTGACATCTGATGGAATTTGAAGGGAATGTTTTTAACCCTGGTGGGTGGGTGGGTGTTGGTCTATAGGTGATGAACAGGTCTCTTATTTATCACTGCAAAAAAAGTCTTAATAAGCATTCTGAAACAACATATCCAGAGCGATAGGTGGATGGTTGTCTTGTAAGTGCAATGAATGCCTCCCTCTCCTTAATTTCCGTTCCAGGCAGTTGTGAGCCTTCACAGTGCAGACTCTCAGTGCAACTTTCCATTCTCATCCAGAATGAGAATTCTAGAGAAATGTAGGTGAGTCAATGCTGTTAAGCAGGGGCTTAGTAGAGTCGAGACCCTCCAGATCAAGGCACCAATGTTTTTTGATGAGCAGAGATGATTCTGTCATTGGCCTTCCACCTCAGGCCTCCTGGTTCTCTCTCCGTTTGGTTGTAATCCCCACTGTATGTGAGGTGCAAAATGTTTTGTCAACAGGGATATATATATCTATATTGTTGTGAGCTGTCCCTACTGCGATACAAATGTTTTGAAGTGGCTTGATTGCAGATGGTCAATTAAGACCCATTCTTAATTATATAAGATCTGCTTCCATGAAGAGGAAACATACTAGGTTTGTTGATATGATTCAGACACAGTATTTTCAGACCCTAGGGATGTGGCTGTGACAGTTGTCAGGAGCAGTGGTTCCCCAGCCTTGGGCCTCCAGATGTTCTTGGACTTCAACTCCCAGAAAGCCTGGCCAGCAGAGGTGGTGATGAAGGCTTCTGGGAGTTGTAGTCCAAGAACATCTAGAGGCCCAAGGTTGGGGACCACGGGACGAACTCTTGGAATTTACCATTGCACCACTGATTTTAAATGTGGTAATGGAAAAGAACAGTTTGTCAAGTCCTGTGTGATGGTATGCAGATAGTGGCATGTTGTTACTGCTCAGGCAGGTCTTTTTCCACATATTACCTTTGTTGGAAGAGCCAGTCCCAACTTCATGGAAGATGAAAACCATTGTTTAAGCCACAAAGTCTGTGGAAGTTTGTGGTTATCTCTGATGTTGATACGTTGTCACTTGATGTAATTGGTTTTTTTGTACCCTCTGAAGATGACTGAAGGAATACTGTAAAACTGTGATTGTATACATGTTGTAATATACCAGGGTCAAAGTAGTCAGCATCAACTGATTGACATGTTAGACGGAGATGTTTTATACCAAATGTTGTGTGTCCTTGAGTCGCTTCTGATTGCATTCTGCATTTGGAGGCTTATTAACCCAGATTTAAAGAAACAGAGGAGATTTACCAAGAAGGTGTGTTTCTTCTTCTTCTTGGTAGTACGCCAAAGCTACCTTCAGTGCACTCTTGTTATACCAGCTGCTTTAGGAGAATTGAGCTGAAGAGTTGGAACTAGCCATTTTTGCTGGGGGTGTTTTTCTAGCAGTTAAGAATCTCATGTGGGCCCGCTTTGCAGGTACGGTAGGAGGAGGCAGGAGGG